GTTGGCGAAATGTCAATCAAATAATTTTTATAACCATATATTTGTTTCGTACGACAGGGCATTTCCGCTCACCTTACTTAAAGCCGCAGCGTGATAACTCAAACGTGCGTTCTTATTTAGATCCACATTTGTATGCGTTATCAGCGTTTATCAGTTTGTCCATTCAACTGGTAGTGTACGAACAGGCGCACCTTCTACTATCATGAACTACTGCATTATGGCACTGAATACAAGCACCGTATAGCTTGCTAAGTATTACATATGTATATATATTATTTCTAAGAAAGACCAAAGGCTTGTGGCTGCAAGAAGAAGGTGCACTGGTTTCTTTCGATGTTATCTTACTTTTCATCAGCATGCTGGAGAACTTTGCGATAGAACATCTGTTGCTACTGATGTACAAGGGTAAAGGTCCCCTCAACAGAGCTAAATTCCACCCAAAGACTTGATACAGCTGGTGGAACATCGCATAAAGCCTTATCTGCAATTTGACGGCCACGTTCACATGCAGAAGATGACACAACAATGAATTCACCAGCATAAAAACTACTCGTAATTGTTTTATTGGAACACTGACTTCGGTGGTTTTTGGATATTTAAGCTCGCGATGTGGCTTAGATATACGGACGACACAATTGTCGTGTTATCTGTGGCTCAGATCCACCTCCTTCTGGCCGTGAGAATCGGTCACTTCGGACAACGGTTACAGTAGCATACGTCTGTGGTAACTTTTGAACGAACAGTTTATGCAGGACTCGAGTAACCATAGCCATGTTGGGGTGTTTGGTTGAAGGACTTCAGTATAATCGCTGCTTACTGTCACCGACCCCTTGTGGCTGATGATAGTATTGAGCGGGAGATTTACTTGTTGACCTTGTCTTATGTTTTGTGTTTTGTACTCCTCGAGTCAGTCTTGGGAACTCTCATCGAATAGCCACGGCCAGGTCGATGGTGACAAGCTCGTGACGTGACCATGAGCGCGCAGCTACATGTACGATTGTTGATTACAAGGCTACTTTCACCGGGGCTATACAACAGAGGAGGCGTTGACATACTGATCACTTTCGGTCAAAATGGAGGCAAATGAACTGGGAAGAACTGTACGTGGATGCACATATTTATACCTTCGACATGTACTAGTGGCCAATTTTCATGAAATCATTCACGCAACCACCAAGCCCGTAAAAGAGAAAACTGTGTTTATCAGTTCATCCCACTCAACCGCATTGATTATTCGATTAAACGATGTGTCCCGTGGCCCTTATCAGCCGTTGCTGTTTATATCTTTTTCGCAGCTGCCCAACCATGAGTATGTTTTTGCAGTCCAGATTCATGCCTGTTTCGAAAGTTAGTTATTTTATATCCCCATGGATGTCGTGTGCTTTGCACTCTTTCAGAAAATTGTTTAGCTTGATCGCTCGTCTCAGTCTTTTATCATCTCTTACTGACTCAACGCTTCGGCATCCATTTCGTTTAGAATGTTAGGTATCACTAGTCATTGCCACCATCACTGTTCTTTGGTTTTCAGCTCAGAGCATTTCTAGTAATTGTCAGATTACCCCAGAACTAGATGATGTAAAATTCAGTTCTGTCTAATTTTAAATTCCGTTCACTGTTCCCATCAACACAATTCAAACCCGAAGGTAACTATCTGCCATTCAATGGGATCAGTGCTATTAGTAATTACGTCCCTTTTAGGTATATCGAAACGACATTTATCCATCTAAAATTACTTTCCCTTCGGTTACGATGGTAGATGACAGTTTTTCGGTTAAAATGTTATTTGATGGACGAAGTATTCTCAATCCTACGCAATTTTTTTTCAAACAAGATGATTGAAACGGCATTCCATTTGGTTTGCGCCATCTTTAGACGTCTGTGAAAACAGCAAATACGCGTTTGACTTTGACAGATTGTAGCATCTGTGAGGTTGAAAATTTTCCTGGACGTCAATGAAAGGAAGAGTGTACAGTGGTTGTGTGCGATACTCCCTGCTCTGTGATTCGGACACAATACTTGCTCTTAACAAAGACCAATAAATTTGCTGCACATTGTAGTCAGTGTCCAACAGTTATGATACACTAAGTAGGATGATCGTGTGAGCGGCACGGCTGCTCGTCAGCAATTATTTGGAAGGACTTCTGCAACACAGTCAATTGATCAGCTAATGGAACTAAACATACGATGACTGGCTAACGTACTGTTTATATCACCTAACTGTCTGTCGCAGCGAGCACTATTCACCACAATCATACAGCAAGCAGTCAAGCAACTACCTGGTCATGTAGTGTGTGTACCTTGACTGTTCTGTTCGGTAAAATGGGTGGATATCGTCCGCCAAACAATGGCTCTGGTGATCACGTAACTCGCTTATTAGAAACGCTATTCGAGATGGTACTATGCCACAGTTAGTGTTGCGTTCATCCACTCCAATTCTAGCCTTGACACTTATTCTTTTTATCTCATTTCTTTACTTCTTTTTACTTTCGATGCTTTGTCTCCTAATTTATTTTTCACCTGTGTTGCGGTGTATAGCGATCCGAGCTGGAGTGCAGTTATAACATACCCCTAAAAGAGGTGGTGATAGTAGTATTCAGAGGTACATTGTGTAACACTTGCCAGTACAGATTACAATGCGGAAACAGAACAAAGTTGCGTTGACACATAATTGTACTCCTTGATTTGCTGACTGTCCAGTGATCTAAGTACTTCAGACACGACAATCCGAAACACAAACTGAAATATCATTTATGAGTAAAACTTCGTCTACAAATTATGTGGTAGGAATTGGTCACACTTTTGGCTGCTGGAAATGAAAGGAAAGAAAGTGTATTCCTCTGTTAACACTTAGTTCAGTTTTCATCTACGAACGCATAAATTTGGCACGGTACATTTCTGCCCAGTATTTGAGAACCATAATTGTTCACATTTTACCCCACAGTACTAACGATTCAGTATGTTCTTAGTTGAACGGCACTGGTAAATACAACAAGAGATTAAAAGTGAATAAACCCCATTAGCACCATTCCATATGCAATCTGTATCCTGCCTTTAAATGCTACCACGGGTCGGAATTTCGTCGTGTTCGTCTAAATGGGCTTGTCCCATGACACCAGATACTAAGACAACCGTAAACAACTACACTGAGAATCTCATTATTCCCATAGCTATATTTGCTAAGTTGAACGGCGCAAAGCGGTTTGAATCATGTGACCACAGTGCAATAACCACGTGGCCCAATCGACCACGTTAGTCAAAACTGTAATTCAGACAAAGAAGGTGGTCATTGCCGATGCCTAAATCATTATTCACGTCCTCGGAATGCTTAGCCCTATTGGCCGTGTTTAGTGACGCATGCAAAGAAGTGGAATTGTTGTCCAACATTGAGAAACAAAATTTCCCTTCGAGTAGTGCATCTACTGCAACCGGACGCTGCACACAGGCGAACCCGGACACTTTGTTAGCTGAACTGAACAAAATCTTTTTCCAAACGCTGCTACGTTACGAAAAAGCAAGAAGTGAGGATTATTTAGAACTTCCAGACGGCACGTTTCGCAAACTAAACGATGAGGAAAGCACCAGGGTTAAGTATTTAGAAATCGTCTCTAGAATTTCGGCAATACTGAAGAGCTTGCTTTGTGAACTAGATGAATCAGGTACGTTTGAATGTCTGGAGCGATATTGTCAACAGGAGCAATCCGAACTGGATAAACTTGCCACATTTGTGGGCTCTGCGTCTGCAAAGGAACGAGATCTGGTCAAGTTACAAAACGATGTACAGGAATTAGAGAAATCCACTAAAGAAGAATCAGTAGCCTTCTTCAGTACTTTGGAAAAGCTGAAACACGAATTCCAAGAGTTGCGAGAAATGGCCAAAATGACCATTCAATACAAAACCAAAGAGTATGCAGCCAAGCTTCTTGATTATCAGAATATGCAAAATCAACGATTGAGCGTCTTGAGTGATGAAGTGGAACGCGTAAAGGCTGTAATATCTCAGACCACACGCATTGCTGAGGAGACTAATTCGTGGTTGTGCACAGACATCTCGACTAAAGTCAACTTATTGGAACTGGTTCCTAAAACTGATCATCCCGATGTTCTTGCCAAACGTTTGGCTAGTATGAAAAAGCAACTAGAGGAACGACAGGCACTTCATACACAGTTGAAGGAACAATACGAAACATGTGATACTATCGTGTTAGCTGACGATCGGGAGAAGGAAGCAGTACGTTTAAGGGAAGAGTACGCAAAGAGGGTGCTGCTATCTGTCATTCAACTCCAATCTTGGTGGCGTACCATGATGGCTGTTCGTGGAATACGGAAACGAAGAAGACGTAAAGGAAGGAAAGGTGGTAAAGGAAAACCGGCTGCTGCTCCACAACCCGCCTGAACTATTATCTCGAGGGGATATTATTCAGGCAGCGTATAACTTAATAAAGTTATTCTTTTAAGGCTAGTTGTAAACTTTTAATAACAACACAGGGAATGAAAAACCATTTTTTACGATAGACGACCGCGGCAGCATATCAATATGCTTTGGTGGTTGGTTACAATTTTAATCTGTCTTCGAAACGAAAAGAAACCGAAATTTGGATCTTTCTTAAGAGAAACCCAGGTTTGTTCCTGTCTGCACTAGAGACAATAAAAATTTGTACATAATGATAATTTCTACATAGTGACAATTTCACTGAACCCTACCATTATAGGCATGACAACACGAGACAACTGCTGACAATGTAGTTTTTAACCAAATGACATTGCGGATTAAGCTGTCTAGGTCATTTATACATCAGGAAAGACTATATGTTTGTTAGGGAATATATCCTAATGCAAATTTGTCAGTTTTTGAGGAATTGTGGTGGACTAGCCCACAACAGGATTCTCCGATCAGTTCATGTTGGAATCCACCAACGCCACCGAGGAGTAGAGACATTGTATTATTGGTAAGTAGTGGGTGAGTGTCTAAGTCCATGTGTGAAATTCTCGAGTTCCGGGATGGCTTCGTGGCTCAGCTGGTGAGCATTGCCGCGTTTAGGCATGTGTTCTGTCGCTGGTTCGAATCCAGCCGAAGTCCCAGACTTTTCGCAATTGGGTAACTTCTGTATTATCAAATCTGCAAACTACTTACCAGTACTACTTATTGAACGTGTGTGTAATCTGAAATACAATGAGGTAACTGTATAACAGCCCGGATCTTCAGTTCCTACCGCGAGCAGTCCACTATCTGTAATGGTCTCACGAGTTCGATTACCAAAATTTGATCCGAAAAATTTTGTCCAAAATATTCGTCTGAGATATTGGTGTTGAAATCAGAAGGAAATAGGTACCTTTCTACAGGCTTTTGCATTGCCGAACTCTGTAAGCTTCATGGGCAGAATATGTCTAAGAAACATTTTCTGTTTGCTTTGAACGCAGTATATCATTCCAGTTCCAGATTATGCTATCCAGGTATTGTCCTGATGATAATAGCAATAGTACTGAATGTAACATTTGTATAAAAAGCATAGCTATCCAGCGATAACACTCTTCCCGTTCACCATCACTGTCGTGTCTTTGGGGCCGTGAGCATCCTTGCGTCATACCCACTTGCGTTCGTTAAATAGTTTGCACTGCGCAGTGGATCATGGTACCTTTCAAAACTTGCGGTGACACGTTTTCAAATGCATGCATTAGATTTTTCCGTATGTAACGCTGTGCTATGAACTTTTCGTCTTTATTCCTTGAGCTGCCAACTTTTATTAATCACATTCGTTCGCGCATGTTTACTAGAGCAAAGGGTTTTCCTCACGATTGAAACTAGTTCCCAGTTTCTCTCAGCCGTCTGGTGTTGCAGTGGGCCCCGAATTCACCAACATCATGCGAACTGATGGTGGAACCCATCTGATATTACAAGTGGGGCGATATCGCGGCGAACAACCAGCATATTGTTCCAACATCGAACTTCCAAGGAAGTTCAGTCTACTCTACTTGGAGTAGGCAGGTTGATTCTTCGAATTGAATTTTGGAGCCAGCTATAAACGTCTCCATTACTATAACGATCGCTTCTGTGTGAATGGACCACCGTGAAACTTTGCGGTTCAGGTCGCAAATCTGTTTCAAGTTTAGTCAGGTACCGCTCGCTCAATAAAACTTAGTATCAAAGTCTGAATTCGTTCTACTTCTGAACCGTGTATATGTACAGAAGATGTTATAGAGACCGCGCGGTTACATACTCGCGATTCACACTTACTGTAAAATGTGTTAGTTTGTTTGGTCCTCGACACGTCCAATAGTGGAAGGCGCTTATGTAAGCTTCTACGAGTGCTCTGAGCGACTGAAATGCGTTCAGCACCTTATCTCGCTTAATCTGAGCACTGAGAAGAACCAACATGACTGATCTTACAAGTTTGTTCGGTTATTGATATTATTCCCAGGGTTGCGGGCAATCAATACCATATTAGTAAGGAGCAAAAAGGTTCACAACGATAGTGGGGTCGGTTCCAATTTTCCGGTAGATCATTTCAGAAGAAACACGTTTGCTTGAAAAATCTGAATGTCAGCGAAGCACACCATCGGGTTTCTCGAAACGTAAGATTCGAGTAGTGGGTACCTGGAGGCCAAGGGAGAAATATCAAGACTGACACAGCACAGCCTTCCAAGGAGAAAAAAACGATTTTACAACCATGCCAACTTGTATGCTGTGATTCGACCAACAGAGTCTGCTGACTAAATTTTTGGGAGAAAAGCTTCAAAAATATACCGCTGTTCAGTCCAATGGTTCACAAAGGAACCTGAATGATTACTGGTCGGCCTTGACATTACAATTCACTCAGCACGTCCTGGACGACTTTACAAGTTACAACAGGAAGATCAAATGAGCCTTCGCATCTTAGCCATTGAAATCAGGTGAGTTACCCAATATAGTGGGTATTGGGGAAATCCAAAGAATTTTTTTATCTGGGCATCAATTCATGTGCAACCTGGCGTAATTATTCTGTTGTGCCTACTTACAAAACGGCTGCTGGCAAAAGGACGTCGATTTAATGATTCTAGGATTCGAAAAATGTGCCAATAATCCTGCTGCTCCTTGACAAACAAGAACATTTTTGAGTTCTGGTTGTTTTTAGGACAGAAGTCGTTCCGGGTTTCAAGTTGAGTACACATTCATTCGAAAGGCATGATAAACAGAGGATGGTTTTCTCCACTTAGCAAAAGCGACACGGTAAAACAACCCCTGCGAATAAAAAGCCGTTTGTACTGTTGCTAGCCAGCCGCATGGCTTTTCGACCATCAGCAGCGTTACCTGGCCTTCGCTCTACCGAGCGACTACCTCTGGCCATGCGACCACGAGGTCAAGACAAATTCAGACGTAGGAATTGAAATACAGGAAGTGTCTTCCTTGTCACGTTTCGAAAGTGATAGGTTGTTCAAAAATGGTGAGTGGAATATAGGAGAAAGCACAGGTTTTCTTTTGAACGATGCTGGTAATCCTGGGTTCACTTATTTGACGCAGTCTGTTAAATAGTTCTGTTTTGTTGTACCGGGGTTGCATGAATATTTCAGTGGCGGTTCATGAAGTACAGTTTTCCCGTGAAAGATTAACTGATTCAGAGAGATCTGAAGATAACTGGCCTCATGTTACTGCCAACTGGGTTCATATCCTTGAGAGGTTTACCTATTTGTTTTATTCTCACCGCCTGGGTGTTTGTGTGTACTACACTTTAGAAACGGATGAGACCGAGGAATTGTAACCAGCCTAAAGAGAATATATCAGTTGCAACGAGACCTCATTTGTGGGAGCAAATGGGTAATTTGTCTCGTAAGTGAACACGGACGTGCCACAAAAGCCACGTATCCCCAGTCTCATTGGCGGCGTGGTCAAAGGGAACAGACCTTAATTATGGTTTGTTCTTTTTGAGCAGTTGTGTGCTACTTAAGTAGCACACACTTGTTGACTGCAGTTCCAAACGACTCAAAGTGGTAATGATGAAATTTAAAACACTTCATTTCTTCTGATGAAATACCACATCAAAGTAATCGTGTGGGTTGATGGATCATAGTGTCCACCCACAGAGAGTGACCCATTTTCATGTTTCCTAAAAAGAGAGCGTCGTAAACTATTTATGATTATGCTACTAAAGCCACTCTCTGGAAGATCGTTTGAAGGATAAGATTCGACAATGAGTTAGTGTTTGCGTTTCGTAGGGACATCTTTCACAACCTACAGCGCACCATAATGGGGTTGCGGGACATGGTCAGATTTACTCTTGTAACACCGTTCGTACCGGCCCTTGATACACGAAACCATCCTAGGTTTCGTGGGTGAAAATATACCCCAGATCACGCAACGTGGGCAAGCAAAGTCAACGTTAATAGATGGGTAAAAGAGGATAAAATCGTCGTGTGATATAATGATCCGTGATGCTCACCGTAAACCGACACTCCACGATCGTTTTTGTTCCTGTTTGGACTCATCAGGTAGAAATAGTCTGAATAGAGATTGAACCAACAACATTTGACGTCATTAGCCAAAGTTCTTATCCGCCTGGTTCCCAGTTCTATGAGCATCGCTTGTGATGCGGGAATATGCTGTGTTAGTTTCCGCTGTGCAATTAAACTCTCCGGCAAGGATCCATCTGTTGTGTACATCCGCAGTCACCTTAGAATCCGACTTTGTTGGCGTCCACCTGCGACCATAGGAACAAGTGAATTGAGCAGTGGCGCTATTATAAAACGAAACCTCACCCGATAGTAAGTTCAGTAACTGTTGAACATTGATTTGATAAAATTTCTTCTTCTTTGTATGATGACTTGTGAATGCGCAGTCTAGGACGGATAGAGCAAGAAATCAATATTTGAGAACAAAGTTCAAGCGTTTATGTAGTGTCAGAAATGAACCGGTTTACGTAACTCTCGGGCACAACGATTCTGATGGATGTGTATAGCTGACTCAAGCGACCCTGTAACTGTTGAATGCATATGACCTTTTTGGATCTTGGTGACTGAGAGAGGTTCTGGCAACCACAATGCGAATGTCACTGAGCCCGATGGGTGTTGGACAGCCAAAAACGATGCTTTGAGTAGGTCAGTCAAGATGACCACATATCTTTCTGTATATGATCGCCGCCATACGTGAGACGTATTTGTGTGTGGTAAATCAGGTGCCGTGAAAAATCATCCATTCAGATGTACACGTGAGAACATGTGAACAGGTGCGTATTCATTTGTCTGCATTTCTTATTTTCCCTAAGCAATCTCGGACAAATTAAGACGGTTGACTCTCTTTTGAATGCCTTACGTTAGATACCCAACAATTCCACTAGTAAAGCAATTTCAGCTTCATTGTTTGTGTTTTTACGAATGAGAAGAATACGTAGGATGTGGATTACATAGTTGAAACATAATTGCTGTTGGTTTATTGTTCTCAAGTCACATTATATGGCCGTGATTTTATGGGCGAGTCGTCAGAAGAGCCGGCCATTTAAAAGGTACGATGTGCAGGTGTATTGTGTAGAAGATTACGGACGGTGAGTTTTCGTTCAACTAACATTTGTATGATCAGAGTGGATGATCGTCAGTGATTTTTGTGACAATTTTTACGGCGTACTCTGAAAATGTGTAATATGACAGGAGCACGAAAATACCATAAACTCTTCTCGCCTTCTGATGACAGCCCGCTCATAAGTGGTCTATCGATAAACTAATAAGAGTTTGGTTCACTATAACGTGCGGTCAAAACCAGCAAGCGCGCACGGGTTGAATTTGAATTTCGTAACAGAGCGTGCTGCAGTGTTTTCGACACCGTTTAAGTTGTGTGCAAGGCTTACTGGGCCTTCGGCTCGTGCTTGTTTGCGTTGTTTCCTTTCACAGAACATTTGCTGGAACCGCTACTTTGGAAAAACGCTGTCCCTCGATGTCTCAACGTCGCCCCAGAGTTGGTCTGTAAGTGTTGCGGACAATCAAAGTAAAGACGACCGGCTTGTATGTTACATTACCTCACTAGCGTAGCATTGTCTTTGATTTTACTGAATTAGCATACTGTCGCATTTCGAATATTAACTGAAATATGTTTTTAATTGGAATCTGAAAATGTGT